AAAGTAAAATACTTATTTGTTGCATCATCTCTTAAGAATTAATTAATAAGAACTTTTTTATTTTTTGTTGAACCAATATTGAGTCAAGCTCACTTTGTTTTCTTTCTGCATCTATTGTCTCCTTTTTATTTTTGTTTTTAGTCTAAATGAGTCGATGCCACTGGTCACCAAACAGCTTCAGTACCTGTGGGGTGTGTCTGTAATCCGAACGCTCTTCAGCGACGTCCTGTCTAAAAAGCTGGAGAGCCAGGAGCCCACTCCCCCACCCCCGCAACCAAGCACATCCCAAAACAATCTGCCAGTTAAAAGTAAGTTAAGAGAGCATTCCTTGCACTGTAATTTCAAAAAGGTCCAAAACCTTTGGAGTTTTTTTGTYTTGACATTTAAAGCAATGTTATGACTTTTTTTTTAGATCTCTTTAAGAGAGCTTTTCAAAAGTCCGCCTCAGTGCGAAACATTCTGAAACCAGTCGGAGGGAAGCGAGTTGACTCAGCTGAAGTTCAGAAAGTGTGCAGCATCTGTGTCCTCTACCAGACCGCTCTGTCCACACTGACGCAAATACGCCTCCAGATTCTCACTGGTCYGTAACAAGTGAACCTTTGGTGATGTTGTCCACTTATACCTGATCATAATGACACGTGGTGCTGTTCTGCTCTGTTGTTGTTTTTTTTCAGGTTTGACACATCTGGATGARCTTTTGCCCAAACTGTGGGCCTTCATCTGTGAGCTTGGACCTCAGGGGGGCCTCAAACTTTTCATGGAGTGTCTGAACAACGATACCGAAGAGTCCAAACAGCTTCTGGCTATGCTCATGCTCTTCTGTGACTGCTCACGTCACCTCATCACGTAATTCTGCAAATCTTTACTAAGATAGTCTAAACGTTATAATTTAGGACGTCCTTTTGAAGATTCTCATTTTGTTTATAGTGCTTTGAGATGACTTGTTGTGGTTTGATGACTTATAAATAACATAATTTCCTAGAATTCTGGATGATATCGAAGTATACGAAGAACAAACATCCTTCAAGCTGGAGGAGCTCATCACCATCTCCTCTTTCCTGAACACGTTTGTGTACAAGATGATTTGGGATGGCATCCTGGGTGAGTGTGGGAACTACCAAATTCACAATGATCGCACTTAATTTGATTGAACAGAAGTTTTATCTTTCTGTGTTCGATAGAAAATGCAAAAGGAGATAAACTGGAGCTGTTCCACAGTGTTCACGGTTGGCTGATGGTGCTTTACGAGCGAGACTGCAGGCGGAGGTTCACACCTGACGACCACTGGCTGCGCAAGTAAATACAAATTAACTGCAGGTATTTTGGCGTTCAGTTTAAAGTTTCACCGTTTTTGTGATCAATGTTTCTGATGGTGCATTCAGGGATCTGAAGCCTAGTCTGCTGTTCCAAGAACTGGAGAAGGGCAAGAAACGAGCCCAGCTTTTACTGCAGTACATCCCCCACGTTATCCCTCATAAAAACGTGAGTAAACCAGATTTATTWATTTTTTTAATTCAAGATGACGTCATGCTCTTGTCAAGTACCTAACCCTCTCCTACATTCCAGAGGGTGCTGCTGTTCAGAAACATTGTCACGAAGGAAAAAGAAAGTTTAGGTTTGGTAGAAACGAGCTCGGCCTCGCCGCACGTCACCCACATTACCATTCGTCGTTCTCGGATGCTGGAGGTAGTCCACCAAAATATTTGTAGTTTTCCAAACAGCGACAAATGATGTCGTGCCCCTTTTTTTAGAGTTTATAATATCACTTTTGATTTCCCTGTCTGAAGGATGGATACGACCAGCTCCGCAGGTTACCAGTGAATTCTATTAAAGGTGTCATTCGAGTGAAGTTTGTAAACGACCTCGGCGTCGACGAGGCTGGAATCGATCAGGATGGTGTTTTTAAAGAGTTTCTAGAGGAAATCATTAAGAAAGTTTTCAATCCTGCGCTTAATCTGTTCAAGGTAATCCAGACAAACATCTGGACATAAATTAAACACATTTCTTCTGTCAGTGTTCCCGTTTTTAGATTGATGCATTTTTTATTTTTTATTTTAGACGACAAGTGGAAATGAAAGATTATATCCTTCACCTACATCCTACATCCACGAGAATCATTTGCAGCTCTTTGAGTTTGTAGGAAAGATGCTTGGGAAAGCTGTTTATGAGGTACTTTTTTTAAAWTTTTTTAAATCGTCCTCTTCTCGCTCTGATTTTGACGTTGTGATAATCCTCAGTAACTGTCTGGTCTGTTTGCTCAGGGAATCGTTGTGGACGTTCCGTTTGCTTCCTTCTTCCTCAGCCAAGTCTTGGGCCACCATCACAGCACTTTTTACAGCTCTATTGATGAGCTCCCTTCTCTGGACTCAGAGTTTTACAAAAACCTCACCTCCATCAAGGTCAGACACTTAACTTGAACTGTTTTGTCTTATTTATCAAACTTTTGTCTGTAGATCACAATTTCTTATTTTAAATCCTCTTATTTTTTTAGCGTTATGATGGAGATGTGGGGGATCTGGGGCTGACATTGTCCTATGATGAAGATGTTATGGGACAGGTAAATATGGTGATCAGAAAGCACGACATAAATGAACTCTTATCACGTATTTAAAATTCAAACTATTTAATATTTTCTTTATACAGCTTGTCTGTCATGAGTTGATACCTGGAGGAAAAACGATGCCCGTCACCAACGAGAACAAGTAGGAAAATTAGGATTCTGTTCAACATCTTGATCTTTTCTCAATTTAAAATGTCCTTTTGGCTAACTGTTCATTTTCGCCATCTTTTGCAGGATCAGCTACATCCATCTGATGGCTCACTTTCGGATGCACACGCAGATTAAAGAGCAAACGGCTGCTTTCATTCGGGGTTTCCGCAGCATCATAAATCCCGAGTGGCTGCACATGTTTTCCACGCCCGAGGTCCAGCGGCTTATCTCAGGAGATAACGCTGAGATTGATCTAGATGATCTCAAGTATGACATGTTTTTACTTCAGTTGTCTTTTTTTTCCCTCCAATGAGACCATTGGATTCGATAAAGTCTCATACGACACGCTCATCAATCTTCTCCTCCTCCTCAGGAAACACACCGTTTACTACGGAGGTTTCCACAGCAGTCATCGTGTCATCCTCTGGCTGTGGGACATCCTGTCCAGTGACTTTAATGCTGAGGAGAGGGCTATGTTCCTGAAAGTATGTTGAGTTCTTTGACACGACTAAATGTTTTATTTTATTATTAATAGTTTTTTCATAACATCTACTGTCTTTTTTTTTTTAAATAACAGTTTGTTACCAGCTGCTCCAGGCCGCCCCTTCTGGGTTTTGCTTACCTCAAACCACCTTTTTCCATTCGCTGTGTGGAAGTTTCAGATGATCAGGTAAAATATATCAAAAATAACATTAAAGAAGTGTTGCCTCATGCCTGTAATACAACATGCAAATAGATTTGCAATGAAATTCCCAAGATGACACAAAAGTAAATATGTTTAGCTTTTCCTTAGGGGACTTAACATAATTAAATAAAATTGGGGAACAGGATGGCTCAGCTGGTAGAGCAGGAATTTGGTGGATGGAGGCTGAAGGTTCTCGTCACAGATGGCAAGAGTCTGAATCCTGATGTTTGGTCCCTAGTATCCACTTTCCCCTTGCCTTACTTTCAAATTAAAGCCATAAATTCATAAAAAGTCTTAAATAATCATAAAACTTTCAACATTAACCCTGGGGCGTTCTGTAGAAAAGCATATTTGAATAAATAACTAGAAACGTAACCATAAGTCTTTCTTCTTTTTTATTCATTTTTGTTAATAAAGTAACACTCTTAAAATTCACCAGTTCTTGAATAATAAAAAATATATATTTCTACCTATCTCTATATTTTCTGATGAATGCATTTGTGTTTCACATTTGGCTTGCTGTCTGCAGGACACCGGAGACACGCTCGGCAGCGTCCTCAGGGGCTTCTTCACCATCCGAAAGAAGGAGCCCGGCGGTCGACTTCCTACTTCGTCCACGTGCTTCAACCTGCTCAAGCTGCCCAACTACAGCAAGAAGAGCATCCTGCGTGACAAACTGCGCTACGCCATCAGTATGAACACGGGCTTCGAACTCTCCTAACTTCGTTGCATTTGGACAATCCGCACAGGAAAGCTTGTGGTAAAACCGAGAGAACCAACCAAGAGGCTCAGTTTGCCTGGACTGGTTAGCTCCAATAAGAAAGACACTGATAGTCTTCTTTTGCTTCTAAAGCTCTGACAGAGTGACAACTTCTTTCTCTCTCCAATCAAGGAAACAACTCCTGTGATCATTAACTTGTAACATGCCCCCCACTCCGCCTCTTCTTATTTAAAGTGAATAGATCACATATTTGACTTGATAAAGTACAGATATACAATGGTTAGACCTCTTTCTCAGGCTTTAACAGAATGATCCTTGGATCTAACGCCACCGTTTTAAGAGAACTGGAAAGCAATACAGATGCAACACAAGCCACTAGACACAATACTGACACTCGGTTAATCCTGTATGGTGTATTAATATACTGGAACATTTGGATTCCATCATCTGGGCAACTTTAAGCAAACATTGAATGAGTATTCAAATTTTTTTAATGCATCTATGACTAACAGAAGATTATTTAACCTTTATGAAGGAGATTTAATGATCCTGTAACCCATGAGAGACACCGGCCCTCTGATTATAATCTGTTTGAGAAATTCTCATTGGCCTTGGTTACGCTGACAAAGTAAGAAATGTTTTTAAAAAGTRTGAACACGCTGTTGTTGGTTATTAAGATGATGTCCTTGTTGTAGCATCAGTTACCTTTAAGAGAAAAAAAAAACAGCAGAAGTGTTATTTTTAAATGTTTGAATTCGCAGAGTAGCACATAATGATCCAGCTCTGCTCAATGACAAAATCATTCCGACGTCACCTCTGATTTAACGCCGAGTGCCTCATGTTCCACCATCACTACGTGTGACCGTGTTCCAGCTCCAACCAAGAACGACACATGATGGAAACAAAAGCCATAAAACTTGGGGCTCGTGGTCCTGGACTTCATCTCGAACACGGCAAAGCGATAACTCCACCACTGTACTATCACCGCAACAACAACCATAGATGGTTTAAGTTGATCTCTATGTGGACTTTTCAAGCCATGCAGAAAAACAAACGAACTTTGAGGTCTAAGTAACCTTTTTGAAATGATGTCATGGACTGATCGATGGGACGGCGTTCCCTTGGAAATATTTCGCTTGTTTTTTTTTTTTGTGTGTGTGTGTGTGGTTTGCAGCAGTTTGGGAGAGGGGGGGCGAGAAGGTAAATGTGACCTTAGAAGCCTCAATTCTGATTTTTACAGGGTTCAGAATGTGAAAGTGACTTTTATGAGGAAAAAGGACTGCAATTTTTCCCTCAGAGAAAGTGAAAATAGCAAATCATTATCAAGTTCTTTATTATGCAAAAACAAGGGTTTTCCGTCATGAATGAGGATGAATACTTTTGTTAGTAACTAATTTATCTAGCTATACAATGACCACTAACTTGTGTGGAAACTTAAAAAATGATTTATAATGAAAATGCTACCATTACATATAAATGAATGAATAACGCTGGATGTTACCTCCTGTCTACTAATAGTTTTTTTTTTCTAATCTGACAAATGAGAGGAGGCTCAGGCTGCAGTTTAGCACCTTTTCAGTCTTCACGAACAAAAATTGAAAACACGGTGAATGGATTTCTTTTGACACACTACAGCAAGTATGTATTGTGCGGGAGTATTGAGAGATACCTCAGTTGCTTGTTTATGTCTCCTATGAACTCACTCATGTTTTKAAATGATGTCAAGGATGGACTGCTGACGCTGGCTTTGACTTTCCAATCTTTTAGTACAAGAAACAATAAAAATCAARTTCAAAATGCTCCCACTCTTCCTGTGAATAAGTAATCACTTTGTTTTTAAAGTTAAAAAGACATATTTTTCCCCTTGTGTTTAATCAAGTATAAAATAATTTAAGTCATTAATACACAGCGGGTGCTTTATTCTRTCCAGCTTCAATAAATTATTGATTAAAAACACCTGTTGGGTCGTGACATGGAGCTACATGTGACGGACAAACTGAAGGAGGTGGATTTTTTTGGAGGGCATTTCCTAAATACCATGCACGGATTATGGTGTTTTTTCACAACTTAAAAGTCTTTGTGCACACTGCCCGTCCAATGTTGCTCTCCACGAGGAGGGGAACAAGGCTCTTTGTGAGGATTTTTCACTTGTTTCAGCCTTAACCTCAAAGAGAACCATGAGCGGTCCACCAAGTCCTTCTCCAAGCCGATGGTTCAAAGCGCTCCGCAGGTAAAAAAGAAAAAAAAWTTTGATCAGTTGAACATTATGACTGCAGCATGTTAGTTTTTTTTTTTTTAGCAATGATTTGGATGTTTTTACAAAGTAGGTGCCTGAGCTTTTCTTCCCATTGAAAGTATTTTAAAGCTAGAGTACACAAAAAAGCTATGATTGTCAGAGGAATGACTGCTTACCATGTAAAAAGCATAGTGATGGGAATCAAAGTGAGTTTATCCAGAGAATGGTGTTAATCACAGTCTGCTCCAGGACCAGGCTAGGAGAGCCTTATTTGAGAACATACCCTGTGGAGTGTGTGGACCTGCTGAGGAGGGCCAGGATTGCCTTTCAGGCTGGACGGACCCTGACTGAGGGCTTCAGACTGGCTCAGCTGGAGGCTTTAGTGAGGATGCTGGAGGAACACGAGTGTGACTTTGTTGATGCTCTTGGCAGAGACCTTCATAAGGTGAGGACTGATTTTAGCTCAGTAATTCTTTGTCATCATTCTAACAGTGACACTGACATAGATGGTGTATTTGTCTACATTTTCTGTTTTCTATCAGCCACGATTTGAAACGGTTGTGTTTGAACTGATCACGGTCAAGAATGAGGCTCTCCATGCCATCAGCAACCTGAAGAAGTGGATGCAGCCGCAGTCTGTGGAAAAGAACCTGGTTAGATTGCAGTTTGTTGCCTCATTTTACAACAAACGTTTTTCAAAATAACATGATTGGGATTATTCGAGGAGGAAAAACAGTCTGACTGCTACAAAGACATGCATTGTGTTTAGCCGACTAAAGCAGATTACCTTCAAATTGCTTTGACCTTTTCAAGAATTCCGTAAAAGATGTCTGCTTTCACGATCCTGCAGACTTGTGGGAATTTGGCCTGACRTGTAACCTAAATATGAACTTGTCTGGCAGTGTTGTATAAAGTACCTCAAAGTGACAGTGATAGAAAAGTACAAGTATCTTTTCAAAAACATACTTTGGTAAAAGTTAAAGTCTTCTCTAAAACTATTACTTGAGTAAAAGTCTTAAAGTATCTGATATTTTTTTGTACTTAAGTATCAAAAGTAAATTTCMGACACAAAATCTACTTAAGTATTAAAAGTAAAAGTACTGAGTAAAAGTGAGCAGTTAGATTTTGCAAAATGGCATTTATTGGGAGGTGACTTCTCCAAAAAATATTTTTTCTAAC